GCAAACCAATCAATCCTGCCATCTTGTTTAACCTCGAACATGCAATCACAGCATCCATCCCTACCGTAACGCATGCAGCACGTACCCACGCATCGCAGCAGTCACGAGCCAAACAAGTCAACATTGTCATCAGGTTGCATAGGAACACTCACACTCAGACTAACACTCACACTCACACTCACACTCACACTCACACCCACACTCACACCCACACTCACACTCACACTCACACTGGCCGGTGCATGTATAGGGAGGGACCCTTGTACGTGTTGTGTTGCCTTCCGCCGCGCGGCGCTGCTCGGCGTTACGCGCGCCCTGCGATCCAGAGCAGCGCTCGATCACTGCTGCTGCTGCTGCTGCTGCTGCTGCGATGTGACTCGTGACTGCATATATGCAATCACATTGCATACCTAACGGCCAAAACGCCGCTGCCCTCAGCACTGCGCGGTACCTGATGGTCCGAGCGTCTTCACGATGGCAGCTAAGACGACAGATGCCATGGGGCAGCCTGACGATGGGACAAATTGTAGGCATCATTCAAAAGTAACCCTCGCGACTGCCAGTCTACCACTTGCCCGAGCAAACCTTTGCTTCTCATTGTCATACACAATTAATGAGGTGCCAAAATGTCGATCGGGTGCCAGGCGCCTTTCGCCAAGTCAGCAAGCACATCATGAATTCTACAGCCATGTACTTCCGCCTCAATTCCTACAGAACCTCCTTCGCAGAAACATCGTTCAATCCTGCATCCTTTCCCCCTCCTGCCCTTTTCTTCTCATGACAAATAGCCCTTCGCCAATGCAATCTCGGCATTGATCACGCTTGATGTCGCTGCTCCAATCATGACGTTGTTCGAGAGAACGACAAACTAAAAGGTAGGCAAGGAGAAACAAGAAAGGAATTGTCGAGATCAGAAAAGTACGCGTCCGCCAGGCCAACGAGGCAGCTACAGCCATTGCAGCACCTTTGTGCTCCCACTCTGAGTCTTCGACGAATCACTTCGACGAATCACAAAGCTTGCGGACGTAGTCATCAGGCACGCGCACGCCCTGTTCTCGTCCCCACCCCGCCCCACGCTTAGCTCTCCCTCCCTCTCCCCCCTCTCTCTCTTCTGTTGAAGCTCACCTTGATGTCAAAGACTGGACACTGCCGAATCCTGCCAACATTGACGCCCGCGCCATTCTGAGCGTCCCTGTCCAACCTAGGCTGAGGTCTGTCCGGCTCCTCGTGCACAATGATCGCCCTTTCCGGCGCAGAATGGCACTTGAGCTGCTGCGCCTCGGTGGTGTATTGCCTCAGAGCTTCTTTGACCTGCTCCGCGTCAGGAGGCGGTCTGTTCAAGAAGCGCACAGATACGGTCTCTGTATGTCCATCAATGACCGGCACCCTATTGCAGTGCGCCGACATCTTGATGCCAGCATTCACGAATCTACCTGCTTGCAATTGTCCCATGATTTTCGCCGCTTCTTGCTCCATCTTCTCCTCCTCGCCCGAAATGAACGGAACGACATTATCGTGCACATCGAATGCGCTCACGCCGGGATAGCCAGCTCCCGAAATAGCCTGCATCGTGCTGGCAATCACCAATTCGAGCGGACCGAACTTTTGTTCCAGGGCTGCCAGAGGAATGACCAAGCCGGTGGTGCTGCAATTGGCATTCGTCACGATGAAGCCCTTTTGAAGACCGAGAGAGGCCTGCTGAGTGCGCACCATTTCCAGATGAGAGGGGTTGACGAGCGGTACAATGAGAGGGCAAAGCGGATCTTGCCTGTAGTTCTTGGCGTTGGAAAAGACACGCAGCTCCGCAGCTCTGAACACGTGCTCTACAAGACGTGGGCAAAGCAGCAGTGCAGTGCAATGTGGGAAAGAATGCGAATCAGCGTGATGGGCTCCACAGTACCCTCTGGGTGTCTCCGCCCCCCACTCTCTCCACTTGCCTGCCGGCCCAGGCGAAAGCTCTGTGGCTACTCACCGTACTCGGCAGCAGGGCCAGAGTCCAAACCCGAAAAGATGACATCGCACTGCTTGAACCTGTCCACGCTGCAATCGCCAACAACGACATCCTTGACCTCTCGCGGGATCTCCTTTACCTGCTTCCATCTGCCTGCGACTGCATCTTTGTACGCCTTTCCAGCGCTGGATGAAGAGGCTCCCAAGACGCTGATCTCGAAGTTGGGATGACCGGATAGGAGAAGGATGAAGCGTTGACCAACTGTGCCAGTCGCTCCGAGCAGACCTACGCGCAGCTTGGGCGAGGATGACATGGCGTGAAGAAGTGGCAGGCAAGGTGCAATGAAGTTGGCAGATGAGAGGTGATGAGGTGCTCCACAGAGGTAGCGGCGAGAAGTGTGAATCAGGTGCCGGACTTGGCTAGCCTAGCGAAACAATCTGGAGTGCCGATGGGTGAATGGTGATGGTCGAGAACTTGGCTCGATTATAGCAAGGTCTCGCAGATTATGCGACTCTGGAAACTGTGAATGCGTTTCACGTCGTCCACAAGCGCAGCCGCGGGGCTCGATCGCATGAATGCCATCGTGAATCACTGGATCAAGTCACCAGTGTGAGTTTTGAGTGAGTGAGTTGTCCTCCCTCGAGCTCGAGCGTGCTCCCGTTCCGTCGTGATTTCGCTTCGCTTCGCATCACCACCGCACCTGACCGCGCGTACAAGGATGTGCTTCGCTTGATTCATGATTCGAAGATCGAGTCATGCAAAGATGTGCGCGGAAATTTCGAATGCGCCAGCTGCAGCCACACCGCGCCTCGTGACTATAGCCTCGTGAACGTTGCGTGTTCCGAGAATCAGTGCGGCTCACGTGACCCGTGCAATTCCTCAACCCCCTTCCCCATCCCGCCGGGCCGAGACAGCATATACATATGTTGTAAGAAAGGTCGAGTTTGACTTCAAGATTTTTTGTTTGGAATTTGAGTCACAGTCTGAGTCTGAGTCTGAGTCTGAGTCAAGAGTCACGAGTAACAAGTGTCACGATCAGTCAAGTGAGTTGATGAGTCATGAGTCACGAGTCACGAGTGGCTCATTCATATTCTTCATCCTGCGTCGATCTCCCACAACGAACAGAGGCAGCCATTGCGTCGTACGTCAAGCTGGACACTCACGACTCGTCGCTCTTCGCTCCGAATCTTGGACGCTTTTCTTTGAGACTCATCTACCAAAGGGCCGACGACTGCTTTGCGTGATGCTGCCCTGTTCGGTACTGCTTCAAGAACTGTTGAATCGCGAATCACTAATCACTCATGCTTGAACGCGGTCCATCGCGCAGTGATGGATGCATGCATGATGCTTTGTTGGCCTTTTGCACGTATGGCCTGGCCGTTGCTCATGTACGGTATTTTGCACATGTGGAAAGGTGTAAGGCGCGCAAGCATGCATCGTCGCCACCTGGACGATCAGAGAATCACGAATCTGTGAATGTCAGATGTAAGTGGCGAAAGAGCAAGAGGTTGGCGTGGTACGCTTCGGCATACGGTGCATGGGCGTCGACGATGGCGGCGAAATGCACATATAGGACAGGTCAAAGTGTGTGGTGTGTGTGAGTGATGCTGTGTTGACAGCAGGGCTGAAACGCGTACCTGCCTCTTAGCACAGCCATGCGGTCGCTTTAATTCTTACAAGGCCGGCTTGATGAGCGTGCCCCCTTTCTTGCACTTCTGGCGGACACCGGCCGCGGGCTCGTACCACGATAGATACGCACTCTCACGAATGATGGTGATGCTTCGGCGTGCCATGCAGCATCCAGCAAGACCTTGCGCTTGCCGTGGAGGCGCCGAGCATGCATGCAAATTAACACACTCACACTCCAGCTCGGTGCCGAGCTAGATCGTAATAAACCTTGGCTGCTATTCTGGCCTGTAGTCCGAACAGCAGCGGGAAAAGGCGCGGGCGGGCAGGCGGCAGAAAGTCACCGAGGAAAGCCTGCATCCTGCTGGCAATAGTCTTTCAGTCGAGGTTGTTTTTCTGACTGTAGCGCCGGCGTGGGGTCAGTCCACTTCGTCGCCTGAGCAGTCGGCTGACCGAGCATCTTTCGGTGCTGTTCGATGGCCGCACTGCCTCTGGCTCCTTCACGCAGTCAAGTGGGGTCTCAGTCGACGATCCTTTTTGGATATAAGAAAGCGCTTCTTCAGACCTTTCTCACAATATTCGAAGCAACGGTCCTGAGCAACGCTTTCGCCTCGCGCACTCGTCCATTCCAATCCAAACTCCCATCGTCATGCTCTTTCACAAGGAATTCTCACCCTGTCTGGTCGTCCTGGCCATCGTCGCGACGCTCGCGCAAGGCGCCACGGTCAAAGAGCGCGCTTCTAATCAATGCCAAGCAGTGGGAACTGCCCACTCCTTTAGCACCACCACCGGAGATCTGCCCATGATCCACCCTCTGACCGTTCAAATCCTTCGCGACGGGCAGGAAATTGCGAGCGTTGACAATGTTCAGTGCAACAATGGAGTGGATCCACCTACTACCACCCAGATCCAATCTTCCCTTCCACTGCCCTTTGGCTGGTCAGCTACGTGTGGCACGGCAAGCATCGAGTGAGTGATGACTCTTGCCACGTGTATACTCGGATACCTTGCCTCCTGCAGTAGGCACCCATGACTGAGCTGACGCATGAGCGCAACGATTCGCCATCTCGTGTTTCCATAGAGAGTGTCACGGAGCGTACGGGCGCGACCGAGACATCAAGGGAGAGGCCCCAACGTCGGAACCCTTCCTCCAAGGCCCGCTGCCAAACATCCTCTGGACTTGCAAGATCAACTTTGATTGCATCTTGCTTTGACGTGCCAAAGCACCTCTGAGCGAGGGTCACACACAGACTAGCATGCAATCTTACGCCAAGAATCTGGGTCTTGCCTAGATTGTGAGCACACTGGGCCAATGCTACTAGCGTCAGAATCCGATAGCCCGAGGCTCACCGAACTTGCCCCATCAGACGTCCTAGTGAGCAACGGCTGCTAGGTGGTCGCCGAATTCGTCTCGCAATCAACATGACCCTTGCCTGTCCTCCACATCATGTTTCATGCACGCTCAGCTCGTTTCCAGTGTCTTCTTGACGAAATCGATTAGCTTCGCACAGATCGACGTCGAGATGCGGTCTGCATGCACGTGCAGGTGATAAACATCTATTGGAGACAGGCATCGCTTTCGCGCCTCCCAATTTCGTCGCATGCGCTGCCTCGAGAGCCTGATGTTTTACCTCCAGACCCTTCGCAACCGCTGTAGATTGCAAATTCAGAGGTTGCAGTCTGTGGACAGTGGCTTTTTCATGGATCCGCTCACTTTTTGGAGCGATAAAGGACTGGAGATATTGCAAGGCCAAAGAGTCAGCAAAGCCACTACATCTGCAATGTTTCAAAAAGCTGTCTTGTCACTTACGGATATACGCTACCGAGTCTGAAATCGACAAGTGGCAGTCATCCCCGCGCACGTCAGCCAAAATCTGAACCACGCACCTAAGATCGATCAGAACTCACCTTCGCCTCCGCCGTCAAGCGCTCGGATCTTATCCTTGCTGACCGTGGAGACTCTATCGTCGTCAAACTGTTTTCATCAATGTGGTCAGCAGCGATCTTTGGTTGCCAAGCAAGAGCACGTCGCCTGCGAGCGGCGAGTCTCGCACTCACTTTGTACCATTCTTGCTCGTCTGGCTTTTCCGTGATTCGTTGCAACGCCTCCTCGTCGCTCTCAAGATCCTTCCTGACCCAGCTGATGTAGTGTCCGGCATCGGCGGCCGCGCCTTTGTGCGTGACCACTCCGACCAGCTCGTACAAGCCCGAGTAATTACACCCAGTGTCCTTGGCCAGATCGGGATGAATGCTAGCCTTGACATCCGCATCTTCTTTGGCTCTGAGCGCCCTTTCGTCTTCGTCCGACAACGCTTGTCCGGGCTGGGACTTGGCGTTCACAGCGTTTGTACTAGAAGCGTTGCCCATCCTTTCCTCCGTCTGGTCCGTCGCACGAGGATCAGATGAGACGGGCGCGTCGATTCCTCCGCTCGTAGCAGTGCCAAGAGACGCTGGATCAGCATTCTTGGCTGCATCACTCTTGACGTCCTTTTCTCTCTGAGCTTTTGCTTTGCGCCGATTCTTTGCTCTCTCGTCTCTGTCCTTCTCTACACTCAATATCTTCGCATGCGCAGGCGCGATCTTCTCTTTCAGTGTGTCCGAGAGAAAGGGCGTCACATCCAAATCGAATGGGAATTTGACCTTGCGCATGATTTTCGTTTTCCTGCGCACGCAAGCGGGGCGGATCATCAGTGTTGCTTCGACGTGGCTTAGTTTCACGGACCTCTTGCACGTACTTGTTGATATCACGCCTCCAGTAGAACCTCACAAAATGGGTGGTTAGGTACGCTGGCAATCGATCAACGCGGCGTACTTCGTCATACACAGCTGTGCGACCCAAAGTGTCCGAGTGTTTCTCGAGTTGCTGATTCAATGACTGCACGAGTAGTAAAATTGATTGAGCGAGCGAGTGAGCACATACGTGATCAAGTTCTCAGAGCCAACTTGCGCATCAACTCACGTCCAAGATTCCAGAAGTCATTTCGTTAGTGCTTGACGAGATGTTGCACTGCAGCACTGAGAACGGTTCCTCGCCGTATGTTGGCTCTTCAGACGCTGCCTCCGCGGTGGATCGTCTATCAATGCGTGTCAGGAGCGTCGCGAGGCGGGTCAGTGACAAGTCGCGGCAATTGCGCTGCCTGCAGCTCAAGTGTCGAAATGCCGCCTGGGCAAAGAATGACCAAGCACTCACTTGACGGTAATCCTGCCGGTCATGAACTGCTCAACGAATTTTGTGTTTCCCACAGAGTTGGAGCCGCCCGCGGATGAAGCGGGCAGGCCGCCTAGCGAAGCTTGCAGAGCATTTAGAATGCGTACCCATACTTCTTCGGCGTCCTGCTGAGCATAGCCGCCACTGCCCATACCAGGCTGCGACGATTGAGCCATCTCTGCGAACTGTGGAGCAACTTGTCGGAGAATCTACAGGCTCGAGGTGCCAGATAGGATCATTTCAGCCTATGTGGGCACAGTAAAGGCCGCAGAAGACAAATAGACTGACCGACAAGAAAGCTAGAGGAGGAAAAGCTTCGGTAGTGGAGCCCATAGCCTTATACAGCTCCCTCAAAGCAGCAGTTAAATTTGATTCGCCATCGACGCCCCCCATGCCCGGTGCGAAGCTAAGAAGGATAGAGAGCATAAGCCTTTATCTCAGCATTGACCACTTTTTCCGCCACTCACTTGTTGAGCGCTAATTGCAGCTCGGGCACCGCCCTCAGCACTTGCAAGGTCGAGTTTAGGTAGCAAGTGTTGCCAAGATTTGTAAGACCTGCCTTGGTCCGCGTCTACAGGCACGGGGGAGAGCTCTGGGCTAAGCAAGTGGACTCCACTACGCGCACGCTTTGACTGCTACCGCTCACCGCCTTTGCCAACTCAGAATCGTCCATGTCTTCGATGAAGGTGATGTTCATCTTTGGCGCTGAGGGTAGCGGTCCGGCCGTGCCAAGCAGCATAAATGTCTGTCCCTGCGTAAACGATTTATATGAGAGCGATCGGAAAGCTCAGCATGACCATGCGATGCTCGAACACAATATCCTTGATAGCATTGCGAAGCTCCGCACTCACAGGCTTTGCCGACAGCTTCGTCATGTCCGCATCGTCCTGTGGAAGCGCACCAGAAAATCAGCGATTCTTGCTCGCCAAGGAAGCATGTGGCGAGATCACAGGAGCGAGTACTGACCTTGAGCATGCCGCCCTTGATCATGACCTTCTGTCTGTCCAATGGCACCCCAGTCTTTTGGTAGATGGCGTCCTTGAAGGCCGAGGCGGGCGAGCTCGGGTCCAGTGTGACATCATGCTATGGTGTGCAGCGCTCGTGGAGGTAGATGAGCATATGCACCAGGATAGCACTACAGTCATCCTTGCCCCTCCATCGTCTTCTGACTTACCATGACGCCATTGTGCTTAACCTTTACGCTGACTGCTGAACTCATCTTGGGCATTTGCGGATGTGTGTGTATGCGTGCGGGGGGCGTGCTGCTACGCTGAGGAGTCTTGTTCCAGCTCGTATCGAGCGATTGATACTCCGCGAGGGATACTTGTTCGACGAACGTTGGGCGTCACCAGCTCGTGATTGGTCTGAGTGACAAGTATGGAAGATGGTGGCACGATGGGTGGTCGCTGGTCAAGCGTAGTGATAGGCTTGGTGTGCGCAACACAACCGCAGGCAACGATGATGACGCGCACCTCCTTCTTGTTTGAGGCGGCGAGGGTGCGTGCGGCCGTGCGAGGTGCGGTGAGTGATGCACGTGACGATCGTTTCCGAGTTCGCGTTTCATATACAATACCCTCAACAAACAAAACTTGCCAACTCATCAAGACAAGTCGTTCTGAGAGCTGCAGGCGTTCTCAGGTATCCTCAGCGCTATCTCACCTCGGCTCTCGACTCGTGGCCGTCATCATCCGTTTGAATAGCAAGCGGCGCTAATCCGACCCTTGCTGTGCTCTTCTGCTGGCCGTTCGAGCTCGCTCACGCGCACCCTGCTCAGGTGCGCGCCCGTGTTGGAGGGAAGATGGCACGCAGCATTCCCCGCGCCTCCAGCGCTTCCGAGGATGAAGGCGATCAAGTCCTTCCCGAAGCTTTGGCAACGGGACGATCCAAGCGCTCCACGGCGGGCAATCGGTGAGCTACAGCGTGTAGTGCTGCGTGCTTCTACTCGTGAGCTCACAAGTTCTGACATTTGGTGTTGCGCTCAGCATGCGAGCGCTTTTGGACCAGGAGTTTGAGGAGGAGGAAGGCTTCTCGGGCAATGAAGATGATGTAGAGTTCGAAGAAAAGCTGGATGAGGTGGACATTATAGACTCAGACTTTGACAAGTCGAGCTCTAACGAGGATGCTGGCTCGGAAGATGACGAGGAAGGGGAGAGACAATTGTTGGAGGAGGAGAACGCTGCTGCGAAGAGGAGCAAGGTGAGCGCGCTCTTTAGAAATTCGTGGGCTAAAACCACGACGTGAGTGGAGGGTGGCAGAGTGAGCGCACTAGCCAACTCAATGCCACGCTCGACTTTATCCTTCTCACAGTCCAGCAAGGGGAAGGCCGGATCAAGCCGAGGAGGGGCGAGACCTGCGCCGCCTGCCATCGCCGCGTTTCGTCCTTCCAACGGCAAGCCTCCTCCGTCTGCCTTGATGTCGGCCGATCAGCAGGATGAAGGGCAAATTGAGTCAAGGGCTTCCAAGCGCATCTCATTCGCCCCCGTGCCTCCTGATGGAGAAGCGAGTGGTCCATCTTCCAGCGGCCCGAGAGGACTTTCTGCTTCAGGCTCGCAAAGATCCAGCAATCGTCGAGCCACGATGCGGGTAGCTGCGGAAGTGCAACAGCGATTAAAAAGCGAGCAGGCTAAAAGGGCATCGCAGCCTGTGAGACAAGCGCCGCGCAAGCGTGCACGATTGACGCAAGATGCGTTGATTGCACAAGCTTTGGAGGTGGAAGATGTGAATCGAGAGTCTTTGAGAAAGTTTTTGGACCAGGAAGAAGAGAGGAGAGCTAGGGATAGGAGACTGGTACCGAAGACGATCGAGGGGCCGTATGTCAGATGGCACTCCATCTCGATGGCGGAAGGTCACCAACCCTCCATTATCGTCATCGAGCCAACAATGGCATCTAGCAAAAGCGAAAATCATACGTCGGCCTTGTCGGCGCTTCGTCTGCCTCTGACCCAGGATCCTGTCTTTGCAGATCGAGCGGCTCGGGCAGCAGACATGTTCAGCACATCGAAAGGTCAAACGGCAGGACAGTCGGCTGACAGGGCCGGTCAGCCGACCAAGAAGTTCTCTCGCACTCTGCTCTCCTTGCGGGGATTGCCGGAAGAGTCCACTTGGGTGGACGAATTTCGACTCTTGTTGGGCGATCATTGCCAATGGGACGCTTTGCCCGTGGTACCAGCTCGAAATCGACCACTTAGGCCTCGTCAAAGCACTTGTCCAATTACAGGCCTACCAGCCGTCTACAGAGACCCGAGAACGGGCACACCGTTCGCGACGTGCGAAGCGTACGAAGTCATTGGTCAGCTGCTTAATCAGAGATATGCGTGGACAGGAGTAGGCACGAGGGAACGACAGACGAGCTCTGGAAGCGGAGCGGCGCATGAAGCGTTTGCGATGGGATGCTACGTAAATGCGCTCGATGACGAAGGTGCAGACGGCTCATTCAGGCGAGCTGCGGAGGCAGCAGGAAGACCCATTGTCACGGCAGTGGACCACCCATCAACCAACGCAAGCGCGCAGATGCTCGGCGGTGCAAGCGCAAGCACAAGCACGATCGACAGCAGAGCTCCATCGCAAGCGCAAGCCCAATCACGCGCGACCGGCCTGCGCGAGGATGAGAGTGCAAGCCCGGCTAGCAAGAGTGCGCCGCGTAAACCTCATCGCCGTGCGCCTACTTGGACGATCGTCAAGGACGACCAAGCACCAGCACCAGGGGACGAGTTATCCGTGTTAGCTGCTGCGCAAGCTGTGAGTATAGCCCTCTCTTTCTCCTCGCGGTCAGCGAATTGTCGATGGATGACTGACTAGTCGACGCTTTGTTGCTGTTGCGAATCATGCACAACGCTGTCATTAGCTACCCGAAGGCTCTACGCGCTCAGGTGGAAGACGCGTCCATTCGGCGCCCCGTTCCTCAGCATCAGCTCATTCATGAGGAACACCCGTCCTCCGTCACGCAAACGATTCATGTGTAGTTGTAACAACGCTCTCATCCACTCAATCAAATGCGGAATCGAACCAGACGTGCGGGTCGTGTGTGACCTCAGACGACGGCACGGTGCGGCTGCAAATCTATTTTACTTGTATGTGATGGTATAGCAAAGGGTGTATGATTGACGACCACTGATATCAACGACCAGGGTCATCTCGTCGTTGCTCTTGCTCTTGTGAAGCTCCCAGTTCCTCGTCTTGGCTCGAGTCCGTTGATTTGCTCGAATGCTCAGGGAGTGGCACATCTTCAATAGCAAAGCTGCCCAGCAGCACAACGACAGTCGCGCCTAGGATGAAGAGAAAAGCCGATCTCAGAGCGATCATGTAGGCTTCTCTTGCCTGTTCTCGAATCTCTGGCTCTAGCGTGGGTATGATGCTGGACTGGTGCCTGATAGCATCGATGATCTGGGCAGAGTCTGGGCCTCGAATGCATCTTTTCAACTCGTTGGCCAGGACGGATTGAAGGATTGCTCCCGAGACCGCGACGCCAACAACTTGACCCGATGTTCGGAAGAGGTAAGAGATGCCTGTGGCTACTGCAATGTCGGACCTGCTGACGCTATTGATGAGCGCGATGAGGGTGCATGTCAATACTCCACAAGTACCGAAACCCAAAGGCGCGATGGCCACCCAGGTGATCCATTCTGGCGTGCTGGGTGTAAAGGCTGCAATGATGCCTGATCCCACCACCATCAACGCAGCATTCAACAAGTTGTACATCCAATACACCCCCCTCCAACGCATGTACAGTCCAGCCAAGACTGAGCTAATGCTCAGACTGACAGAGTACGGCATTTGGTGAAGACCTGCTTGAGAAGCTGATTGCAGCTTGACCGCTTGAAAGTAGAGGGGATAGTTGTAGAGTAGGCCAAAGGAGGATATGGCCAGCGCAAAGTTGGTCAGAGATACGCTCGCTGCTGTTCTCTGCGTGAGCAAACGAAGAGGCAAGATGGGTTTGGACGCGATGCGATGTTCCACAAAGATGAATGCTACGCTGCCGAGCGAGCCCAGTACCAGAGCGAGCCAGACTTGCATATCTTTCAACGTGCGATCCTCCGCGCTCAGGCTGCTCAGCGCAAATAGCGTGGATCCAACAGAGAGTACTAGGAAGAAGGAGCCCAAGAAATCGATTTGGCGCAATTTGAATGCGAGGGTCGGTGACGCTTGTTGGAGCTGGTCGGCATCGGCTGCTGTGGGCGCCAGTGACATGTTGACCGAATGCCTGTGCTTATCAAAGTCGACGAGGAAGGAAGTCAAGAGAGCGAGGCAGAGGATGGGAACCTGAAGGTTGAAAGCTGCTCTCCAACCCAGCTTGTCGTTTGCCAATCCACCAATCGGTCCTCCCAGTCCGCTTCCCAGACCAAAGATGATGTTGGTGAGACCTTGCATCAAGCCTCTGCTGCGAAGAGGTATGACATCGCTCATCACCGTGCTCGTCACCACTGTCAATCCGCCCCCTCCAGCTCCTGCCAATGCTCTGAAGGCGATGAGCGCATTCATGCTTCCCGCAAGTCCACACCCCAACGTTCCTAGGGTGAAGAACGTCAAGCCAAGTAGCATGGAGATCCTCCTTCCCAAAATGTCGCATAATCTACCATAAATTGGGGCAAAGCAGCATACTGATAAGAGGTAGGAGGTGCCTAACCACGAAGAACGCTCGGATGCGCCAAAAGAAGAGGCGATGGAGGACACCAGCACAGCTACGATGGTGCTGTCTAGCGCTGCTGCAAAGACCGGCACCCAAATGACAAAGAGGATGGGCAAGAGGATTCGGTATGGCGGGAATGGAACATCGCCTTGCTGCTGCTGCGTGCGTGTTGCGCTATCAGAGCTGCTTCTGGATCCTCGAGGTGGTTGTGCCGTTGCGACATCTTCTTGTGCTCTGTGATGCCTCAGCAATGGCGTTTGTTCATGCGCCGCGGACCTCGTGGTGGTGGACGCCATCGTGTGCCGAGAGCTCGCTGTGCAGGTTGCGAAGGCGGGTGTTAGGAAGAGGACAGGGCTCGCGATGGCTGGTGGAGACCTGCCAAGTCCAAGGGCTTCGGGTCTGAGTCAAGTCTCGAGGCTGAGCAACAACCCGGGCACCTATGCTTGTGACCTTTGACTTCAGGGCTGCTCCAACATTGGACGATACACGTGACGGTGGCGTCTTGAGTCGTTAGAGTCAAGAGTACTTGTCCGCGGCTAAACTTCTGAGAGCATGCATGGACCGAGGGCGGCTCGGATTCCGTTCCGCCGCGCAGGCACGCATAGTTAATTGCCCGCTGAGCTGCTATATTGCTTCACGCGCTTGCTTTACGCTCGTTCGCAGAGGATAAGCGCATACAATCTCACCGATGCAGTCAGAAGAGTCGCAGCAATCAGAAGAGATTCGCTTCGCAGTGAGTGAGTCTGTTCGTTGATGTGTGAGTCATTGAGTGGGAGTCGAGGGAAAGAGTCACAGCGATGTCGCGTCGCTAGCCGTAGGTGCGGTCGTCAAAGCTTTTCTAGACTCGCCACTCAGATATTCTGGGTCGAGTGGCACGTCAGGCGCACTTCTCTCCTCTCACCTCGGTCTTTCTGACCGCCACCTTCCAGGTTTGAACGCCGACAAAGTCACCTCAAAGGCTGCTGCACGCTCGAACACCAGTCGCAGTCTAGGCGGCAGCCCCACTCGATACTCGACCGGCTGATGCATGACTCCATCCCACATCCTGGTAAGTCCTTCGTGCTCGCGCGGCTCCTGACGACTTGCGTGCCGTGCCAGTCACGAGTCCAACCAATCGAGAGTATGCGAGATTGCTGACAAAAGCGTAGCATCTCGCGCCAAGGTCTATCGCAATCAGCCAGCCGCAATCGACGCTTTTGAAGCTTTTGGCTCAGTGTAGCCTCGTCCCTCTGGGCTCTATCTAGGCTCCCGACGCTGTGAGGATGAGTGGGCGTTCGTCCGCTCCCGAGACTGCGAACTTGCGCACTGGTCAGCACAATGGCACTCTGCACGGCAGAGCATCCGGCATCTCCGACAGCAGCTCTGGCAGCAGCGACGCCCCAGTTCGACCGGCTTATTCGAGTCAAAACTCCTCCTTCGCCTCTACCGTGGGCGAACAAGCTTTGCGCTCATCACTTTCCAGCGGGGAGAATAGCGTCGAGATTACACCCATCCACTCTGGTAGGACAAGTCCTCAATTCATAAGACGGTCCATCAAGGATGACCCCCCGGCTCTGTCTACTCCGCCCATATCGAGAAGTTTGCAGAGCTTTTATGATGAGACCGACGAGAGACAGAGGCTGGAAGTGGAGAGTCAGATCTATAAAGGCCGAGCGGCTGAAGTCGACAGCTTTTCTGCAGCATCGAACGGCGGCGCCGGTCTTGATGTTGGAGAGAAAGGAGGGCAAGCTTCTTTAACAAGCTCAATGGACGGCTTCACGGCCGATGTGGCGCACCTCAGAGTGTCAGGTGAACAGAAGGACTCACCCAGCACGACGCAACAGCCGAGAGGCACAGCAGGTGCAAGCGCTGGACAGGCAACTCCTTCATCGTATCGAGCAGCTAACAATGCCATCGCAGCTTTGAAGCCTGCAGCCTCCGTAGCGGATGGTACCGAGCAGCGTCTACGGCAAGCGGCAGGTTACGCATCTTCGCCCGCTGATGCTGCAGCTGCCTTGGCAGGCCTAGGATCTACTTCAGCTTCCGGCACAAGCGCTGGTGCTGGTGCTGGTGCTGGTGCTGCTCTGCCTAGCTCCAATACGGACATGAGCAACGAGCTTGGCAGCCTATATGCAAGGTTGCAGAGATGTCTGCAGCTCAGAGAAAAGTACATGAGTGTCAGTCTGCAATCTCGCTTGGAAGACAATCCGAAGAATTGGGATGCAGAGTACTGCGAGCAGACACAGAGCGGAGTTGATGACGCAAAAATGAACGAAGCAAGCGCAGATGATAGCGCAAGGCAACCCAGATCCATCATCGTCGATGGTAGCGCGTCCGTACAGACAAGTGAGGAAGGAGGCGTGACCAGCAAACCTTGGCGCATATATCCGGCCCCTCCTCGTCCTCACTGGGAGCACTTTCATCCCGCACCCGCTTCGTCCTTTGTCTCTAGACCGCAACACACCAGCGTCAATCCTTTGCCTCCTGCGCAACCTCCTGCCAGTCCTGCAAATGCTAAAGCAGCACAACAATTGCTAGAAGGAACTGGAGGCAAGCCAGGTGTGTTCAGGCAAGAGGATGTAAGATACCCGGACCGGCACCTGATTGATGGTCAAGAGGTCAAGTTCGAATTGGACTCTAGCGGTGTGTTCCAAGTGTGCGTTGAGAAGGGCAATCGAGAGGACAAAGCGCAAGCGGAGGCCCAGCAGACCAAGCCCGAGTATTTATCCAACGTACCCACTGCGAGGGAGTATTTCAAAGATCTGGACTTTTTGCTCGGTGTCATTTCGGATGGACCGGTCAAGAGCTTTTGCTGGAGACGCATCAAGTATTTGGAACACAAATGGCAGCTGTATTTTTTGCTCAACGAAGGGCAGGAGCTGAAAGCCATGAAGGCCGTCCCTCACAGGTGAACATGAACGATGAGAGAGGTCTGACCTGCTTACTGATTGGATCGTTACGCACCGCCTCGCAGAGACTTCTACAATGTGAGGAAAGTGGACACGCATGTTCACCACAGCGCAAGCATGAATCAGAAGCATCTCTTGCGCTTCATCAAGAGCAAGATCAAGAGGTATCCTGATGTGAGTCGCGAGTCGCCTTTGTGATGCAATCATCGAATCGCATTAAGACGTTTGCGCACTTTTGACACGTCCGCAGGACGTTGTCATCTACAGGGATGGCGCCGAGCTGACACTACAGCAAGTATTTGAGAGCTTAAACTTGACTGCGTACGACTTGTCCATCGATACGCTCGATATGCATGCTCATCAGGATGCTTTCCATCGTGAGTCCGTATCAAAACCTTCACTTCTGCTAGTCCAAGCTGTGTGACCCATGTATTGACAGCCACACTGCAATTTCTGCAGGATTCGACAAATTTAACCTGAAGTATAATCCGATCGGCGAATCACGTCTGCGAGAGATTTTCCTTAAGACGGATAATCTGATCCAAGGTCGTTACTTGGCCGAGATCACCAAGGAGCTGATGCAAGATTTGGAGCAGAGCAAGTATCAAATGGCCGAGTACAGGTTGAGCATCTATGGACGATCTGTCAGCGAGTGGGACAAGCTTGCAACGTGGATCGTGGAGAACAAATTGTTCAGCCCCAACGTAAGGTGGCTTATTCAGGTGCCAAGACTCTACGAGGTGTACAGAGGCCAAGGCACCATTCAGAATTTCGAGCAACTGTTGGACAGTAAGTTCACCTATTCATGCTGACGTATCAAAGCGCCTCTCCTGACACGAGATTCCGCCTCCTGCCTCCTTGCGCGCGCAGACGTCTTCCGTCCCTTGTTCGAGGTGACGCAGAACCCGAGCTCGCATCCCGCTCTGCACATCTTCCTCCAGCGAGTCGTAGGCTTCGATGTGGTGGATGACGAGAGTAAACCGGAACGGCGGGTACACCGCAAGTTTCCGGTGCCCAAGTTGTGGGACTACAGAGAGAGTCCGCCGTACAATTACTGGTGAGTCGATGTATTCCCGCGCTGCGTGGCGTCTTTTCCGTGACCGTCAGTTGACGTTCGACGTGACAAATCCAGGCTGTACTACATGTACGCGAATATGAGCAGTCTGAATCAGTGGCGTCGGATGCGAGGCTTCAGTAAGTCATGCGGGCGCCTAGATTTTTGCGCCTGGTTTGCTGATGGTCGTTCCTCAACCTTGCCTCCTCAGATACGCTTGTATTAAGGCCGCATGCTGGGGAAGCTGGCGATACAGATCACATGGCGGCCACTTTCTTGACATCGCAATCCATCAGTCATGGTATCTTGCTTCGAAAGGTTCCAGCACTTCAGTATCTTTACTATGTGAGTGGCGAGAAAGTAACGAGATGAGCATGGTATGCCCCCGCAGCTCAACGCGCTCGCCGCACCGCGACTGATCTGACAGCTGAAGCAAGTGGGCATGGCCATGTCGCCCTTGTCCAACAACGCGCTCTTTCTATCTTACGAACGCAACCCATTCCCGTCCTTTTTGCGAATGGGCATGAACGTCTCCATCTCGACGGACGATCCCCTGCAATTTCATCTTTCCAAGGAGCCGCTTTTGGAGGAATACAGCGTGGCGACGCAAATTTACAAATTGACGCCGGCGGACATGTGCGAGCTGGCACGAAACAGCGTGCTGCAGTCTGGCTGGGAGATGGAGCTCAAGAGGCACTGGTTGGGCACCCACTTTTACAAGTATGGCCCTAGCGGTAATTCGATGGCGAAGAGCAATGTCCCTGTGAGTTGTCAGCGCGTGCGCGTGCTGAGGCTCGATCGTTTGCTCAGGATGCATCGCGACCGCCCAACTTGCTGTTCCCTCACAGGACATTCGGATGCGATACCGCGAAGATACTCTCAAAGAGGAGCTGGACCTGGTCTGTCACAATGATGCGCGCTCGGCGAGCCTGTCCTTGTGAACGGCACCTGTTGAGAGATCCATCCCGCGGCAACAGACGTCCGCCAAGTAGAAAGAAGTAGAGAGAGGGCAGGCGGAGCGAGAACGGATGGGCAAGTTCACTCGAAAACGCACAAAAGGACACGAGAATCGGCTTCGCAATAGTCACTTGATCAGTTACGCAATGCAGCATTAGAAAGCGCAGGTATGGGGCGAAGGCATGATCATTTGGGGTCTTGACAGGACGTAATGTGGCGCAAATCATGACCAGATTTCCCACAGAAGCGCGCGCGCATAGAGACACGAGGAGTCCAAGAGCAAACAGCGGTAAGATGACCCTTGCTGCTTCTAGTGGTGCGCAAAGTGGCACTTCTGTTCCTGGAGTAAGAGCGTGGAAAGAATATGAGGAGTGCATAATCTCATGACTTGTCGCTTCGATTGCGGAAGCGGAGCAGAGGCGCAAGGGACGAAAGTGGGCATGCCTTGCGCAAAAATTCGTGCTGAGGGCGCAGAGTAGATGGAAGAAAGCGGCGAGTGGAGCAAAGAAGGTCAGCATGAAGCACCAAGCCAAGGCGGCAAGGTGAACCGAAAGCGAACAGCTCACCTGCAGAAGTTCGTCTGCATTAGCGCGGCTTTTGACGTCGGCACAAAGGCACACGGCAAGGAATCCCTTCAATTCCTTGCTCAGCTTTTCGGGCTTCTTGAGCGTAGGTGTGCCGTTGGTGGCGATGAGGTACAGCGCTTTCAATGGCTCCTCATCCAAGTACGGAGGCTCATTCTCAATCATCTCGATTGCCATGATGCCGAGCGACCAAATGTCGACCTTGGCTCCATACTCCTTCTGCTTGACCACCTCTGGCGCCATCCAGTACGGCGTTCCGACCATTGTAGCGCGCTTGCTCTTTTGATCTGTGAGCTTGGCGCAGAATCCGAAATCGGCTAGAGATGACGCGGGCAGGAACAATGGGTGTGAGCGTGGCTGGCGCGCATCTAACAGCGCGGTCCCGTAATTTCGACTCACTGATCTTGACCTGGCCGGAAGAGTTGAGCAGGACATTGTCGGACTTGATGTCTCGGTGAATGATGCTCTGCGCATGCAGATGCTCAAGACCTTTGCACGTCTGCAAGTAGCGAGGAACGGGTTGCGGCTCAGCATCTATCAGGATCCCAGCGACGTCACTTCATCAAACACTGACCTCGAAGGAGATAGCGGCAATTTGGTCTTCTTCCAACGTATTGTTGTCAATGATGTCAGTAAGCGCCCCACCCTCCATGAACTCCATGATGACCCAAAGCTCATTGTTGCGGACCAAGTACGATTCGAGGAAGTTGACAATGTTGGGATGCTGCGACTCCTTCATGACTAGGATTTCGTTCACGATGAGCTCCTTGCGAGGTTGGTGGGACAGGTCCATCGTTTTGATAGCTACTCGCTGGCCAGTCGCCAAGGTCTTGGCAACATAGACGGAGCCAGAAGCACTGGTGAATGTGTGATGGAGTGAGGAGGCGTCATCAGTCGCGCTCTTCCAAAGAATCACGCCACCCAATTCAAGCGACACGCTCTATGACTCACCCCTGTCCAACCTTCTTGATCTTGGAGTAGAGCGTGTTGGGGTCATCGGGATTGACAACCTGTCGCAACTTCTCCATGATTTGCGCCTCGGACATGGTGCTGATGCGGCGCTCGCTCTCCTTTTTGCTGCCAGCATCAGCCTTCTTGCTCGTTTGCAAAGGCTTGACGCCAGTAGCCGTGCCCGCAGAAGCTGCTGGTGGTGGCCCTGGCTTAGCAGTAGCAGTCGAGCCCTTGGTCGCGTCCTTTGAGGATGCCGGCGCTGCAGACTCGCTCAGCTTTAGCTCCTTCGTCTTGACGTTGAGCGCAGCTGTTCCGCTCTCTTGCGTGCGCGTGCGCTCGCGCTCGCGCTCGCGCTCTCTTTCGCGTTCCCTTTCGCGCTCCTTCTCGCGCTGTCTTTGCTCTCGCTCCTGCTCGCGCTCTCTTTCGGCGGCTGCAGCGGCAGCTGCAGAGGCGCCTGAGGATGCTGACTGCCCTGCGGCCGAGGATGAAGGAGCACCGCTGGCTCCGCCGGTCCGCGCTGGACCCGGCGCAGCAGGTGCCTTTCGACTAGCCACTAAATCGTTCGCAGAGCTGGCACCGGTATTGGAGCGCTCGCGAGGCGTTGGCGCGGGCGCATTCGCGGGTCTGTTGCCCGACGGACTGGCTGCTCGCGAGGAAGGACCAGTGTTGGCGCTTGGTGCGGCGAGTCTATCATCGCGCTCTGTTGAAGGCCTGGAGGGCACCGCTGCGCCGCTGCGGCTGCCGTACCCGTTGGCGGAGGACGAGCTGCCAAAGCTGCTGTTGGAGTTCAAGCTGGGCTTCGACGATGCCGAAGAAAGCTGTGAGGCGCCTTGACTACCCGCAAACCCCGTGCCTTGGAAGCGACCTGGCGCTTGGCTCGCAGCCGGAGCATCCCGCGAGGAGATGTTAGAGGCACCCGTACCACCGGGTTGGAGGTTCATGGTGGGCGTGCCAAGACCGAATTCGTCTCGCTCACGCTTTTGAATGTCAGTGTAGAATTCGAGGACATCAAGCACTGCCTGGGGATTCTTGGCGTAGTCCTCCTTAGTGATGGCTGATGTGGTGAGCAGTCTAGTCCACTGCTCCGGCAAACCCGTAAAGGCACCACTGATGGGATCGAAACCAACGTGAACTTGGTGCACAAAGTTGGTGGGAGAGCTGACACCCATCAGTGGGCTGCGCGAGTACACGTCGTCCATCCAGCCGTAGAGCTCTTCATCGTTCTTGAGCTGAAGGTAGTAGGTCTTGTCTTTTGTCTCGATTTCGATGCAGTAGGGCTTCAGGTCAGTACGCGTCACATTTGTTATCTCCTTTAGGAAGACGAGGGCGACAGCTTGATAGGTGGTCTGAGTAGCAAAGACCTCGTGGTATCAGAAGCGGCGCAATGAGACCAGTGCCATGCAAATCGCGGAATCTCACCTCATTTTTGTGGAAAGTGAGCGTCTGCTCTCGCAGAGCAAGCCAGCGCTTGCTCCAGATCCAGCTTCGAATGCCATCCTCTTTGACACTGACGTAGCCCTTGCGCACAATCCCTCCACCAGGCTGACCAGCCGGTCCGAAACCAGAACCACCGCCGTTCCAGCCGGTACCAGCAGAGAAGGAAGAGCCCGCACTTCCAACAACGGCGCCTGGTCCAGCTGGTCTTAGAGGTCCAGTGTACGAACCACCTCCAGCTCCGCCTCCTGCACCCATCGGCATGCCAGAGGGACTCGCGCCTGCGCCTGCGCCTGCCACGCCTGAGCTTCCCGCGCCGTATGATGATAGAGGCGGAAGGAAGGGATCCGTGTGCTGAGAGCGTGCTGATGGTACGGGAGGCGCCCGTCGGGAGGGCGTCAGAGACCCCATGCTGCCCGATCCGCCCAGACCGCCTGGGACGCCGCCATTGCCAAATCCGGACATCGCTAGTAGTCCGCTGCTAGATGGAGAGTCCTCTCAAGGTTGTTTGAAGGAGGAGAAGATAAGCTTTAGGAGGCCTGAAGCCTGCAACAGCAGCGGGAGCGGAGCTTCTTCTGGCGCTACGTTTCTTGAGCAGGGGTATGGACGGTGCGAATGAGTAGCGAAGATTGCTGACAAAATCTGTTGACCGTACCAAGGACCAGAATGGCCCGTGACTGATCGTACTGGTGGTTGTAGGGCTTTACAATGCCATCCGACGGGCCGGTGAAAGCTGGTAGATGCAATGTGAATGGGCCAAGCGGGTGGAAGCTGCAGTTTGGAGATGCTTGCTGTACTTGCCGCACAAACGAGCTGCTGCAGGTGTGTAGCTGGGGCTGAATACAGTCAAGTGCAAGTGTTGAGTTGCTCACACAGCACAGCAGCGGCCAATTTGCTGCTGCTTGTGCGTCGCAGATAGAGACTGATCTGGTGGCCGATCGCGAACGCGCGCTTGTCTGTTGCGCTCAGACTCGTGACTGGCGCGATGGTGCGCATGTATGTGTGCGATGGATGCACCGCTGCTTGCTGGCCTGGCTGGCCATCATCACGCGTGTGCAAGCATGCAGCGCCGCGACCCCTAGCCGCCCGCTGCTGGCCATTCCCCCTCGAACCACGCGCATGTGCATCGCCGCCGGCGTAAAAGCCATATACATGTATATTCATGCACATGCAGCAGCAGCAGCTGCTGCTCGCATGCAGGCCTTCCGCCTGATGCACCCGCCGGAGAATGGTTGAGCAGTCATTATCACGTGCCTCAAATCTCAATTCGCTCCTTGCCGTGTCACCTTCGTTGCTTCTCATTCTCGATTCAGATTGCCTCTCGAGTCTCGATTGGTTTGGACAAGCGTTGAGTTGGCACCCCATTGTCCAAAGCACACTCACAAGCACACTCAAGAACTCGCTATGAAGTCCCGAGCGGCATTTCATGATAGTACGCCAAGCCAAGCCATCCGTCGTTTCTCCAACTTGGCTGACGGGTCTTTCCTCGTGCAACCAAACATGAATTGAGTCAGCTGTGATCACGTCAGGATCGACACTTAGCTGTGGGTATGCGTGCAATCATCAGCTGAGGAATCACTACCACAGTGACTGCTGCTGCACGAGAAAAATCGGGAAAAAAAGCTCTTTATATACTGCTCCCCGCATAAAATATGCAGCCGGTGATGGGCCAGCGCGTAGCGTAGGTGGTAGAGGTTGTGTTGCAATCCAATTATCCACAATTAGCGCGACGCGTGCGGGGGTAACCCTCCACGTTCGAGTCCGTCGTTCGAGTCCGCGATGGAGATGCGTGGAGGCTGAAACGGGCTCCACTGATGCCCTGCGAGTGTCCCTTCCGCTCGTGGGTTGATGGAGGAAGGCAGATCCTCCCATGGAATGACGAACCCGTCAGAGGTGCTCAACACCTCCGGGATCCGACCATGACATAGGGTGAGCATGACCATTCGGTGGCGCCCTCTCAGTTTTTTGTTTGCACCTGAGGATGACTTCGGCCACATGCTCGGGACGAAGAGCCGAGGCCGAGAGAGAGGCCCTTTCCTCCGACTCATTTGACACTTGATTCTTCGCCTTGTCTGATTAGCCCATTCTTTGTTTCTCTTAGCTAGCCTTGACGCACCGCTAGAGCACCATCCATCCCCATTTGTGCGTTCGTGATCGCGGTGTTTCATGACCATTTGGATGAATGCGATTCATTCTACAGCGATTTTACACCACCGAATTTGATAATACCTAAATCGCGTGCGAGTGCCTGCGTGCTGCTCCCGGCACTTGTGCTCGGCCGAGTTTGAGGCCCGCGCACGGTCAAGAGGCACATCGAGTCGTAGCGTAGGTGGTCCAAAGTCGTCATAACCTTCGAAATCCATCTGATGCACAACACGGAGCTGCAGAGAGGTGCGCTTGAGTCGATCGCTTTGGCCTCTCATTGACTCTGCAACAGCAGGAAAGGCTTCTTCGATAGCTCGGCTTTCGTGAGAATGCGTAGCGCGGATGGCGTTGAGCAAGTGAAGCGCTCCGAGCGGATACTCCCCGTTGCAGTGATCATTACCGAGCACGTATTCCCTGCTGAGGTATCGCTCTACGGTCGCTCGTAGCCACAGAGCGTGATGCCGTTCATAGCAGCAGTCCGCAGCTAGAATCATGTCGTGCTGTGGGTGAGCACCTTTTGCGGCAAATTCGGGAACCACATCAGCATGCTAAATTCTCTCTCTCCGATTCGCCACGCTACTCACTCAAAGCCTGCCTATGATCGTCAGTCAAATTTTGCGATTGGTCTCGCGCTGCTTCCTTGGACACTTGGGACCAGTCCAAATGTGCGACACTGACTTGAGGTTGTACTGACGGACCGGTCGATCCAGCGGGATCACTTGCGAAGTTCTGCCTGACGTTGAATGCAAGGTTTTCGAGGACGTCAGGATGAAAGTCTGTCAGGCAAACGTTTGCGCGAACATTGTGCTTCATGCGTTGGACGAGGGCAGCGATAGCAAGACCGACCAGACCCGTTCCAGCTCCAAGTTCCAGGATTTGGATGAGAGAAGTCTTGCCATGGGGCTTTCTCTCGTTGATAAGCTTGCAGAAAGGGCTCATCAAGTGCTGCGCGAGCATGGATGCGGAGCCCCATGTTCTCGAACCCAAAGCATCAGCGGTCAATGTACCGTCGCGCACTTTGACTGCTAGACTTCCCACGGGCGAGTCGAAGTGGTAAATTCTAAATACCGGTCCGGAAGCTGGCCGTTTGCGAGGATTTCGATCAGCAAGAGGGGCGATCCGAGCTCAGGACAAATTGATATTCGAAGCTCACCACTTTTGCCTGCGCAGGCGCTCAGAAGTTCCGTTGCGCGATCCAAAAGCACAGTCACATCTTCATCTGCGTTTTCCGCTCGCGTCGGTTCATCATCGACCCATGATAGTCCAGTTTTGACCAAAGCGGAAAGCCAGATCCTTGAGTACCTGAGCTCGAAGAGATTCTCCGCCTGCGAAGTCTCGTGATCTTCCGCGGCTGCTTCAAATTGGACCAGCGAATCTTGAGCTTGAGCTTGGATAGGATCTGTCAAGTCGCTCTTGTCCAGCGCATCCGCCCTATTGGCACTTGCTCGTTGGAGCTTTGGGACGTGGACATTTTCGTGTCCATCGAGACGCAGGGCGAGTGCGAGGTGTGAGAGTGCTTGAGCGAGCACCGGCCCTCGAGGTCTGTGCTTGAGAGGAGGCAGGTGCACTGATGGTATGAAGTATGGTCCGTGCTCGCGAGCAGTGCGTGAGCTTGGGTGAGCTACATCTTCGACTGTCATTGGGGATACTCGATTCCGCTCCGAGTGGTTCAGTGTGAGCTTGAGCGAAAGCTTGCTGCGAAAGTCTTCTCTACCTTGCGCGCTGTATGCGGTATTCCAGATTGTCGGCGCACTTGTGGATCCACATGCGCTCGTTGCTCTATACCTCTTGCATGATCACGATTACCTTTGCACAGCCCATGAAAGTCACGACTCGCCGCTTGAGACAAAGAATTCGAATGTCAGCGGTATGAGCCCCCCCCGGATGAAGTTTGCGAAGTGGTCACAGTTGTTGTGAGGAAGAAATCCGTGCTGCGTTTTTGCCAAGCGTTTGCCGAGCGCGGACGCTGCGCTGCCTGCGCTGCGCCGCTGCTGACGCGTTGCAGTCAGACTCGTGACTCTTGACTGCACGGGAGCGAGATGCAAATTGAGACAACGTGGAGGCTTGACTTGACTGTCAGCGCGGAGGAGACGACGGACACAGGCCATGTGCTGTCTCTGACGGGGTGTGCATGCTTGAGAGATGCTCTTTGCGCGCAGCTGCTGCACCGCGAGCTGATCACAGCAGCAGCATATGCATGATGTGCTGCCGTGGCGCTGCTGTCTGATGTGTGTGCTTTGTGAAGGATGACGCTCAACTCAGATCTTCCTGAAGTTTGCATGCCGAGCGCTTCACTCTTCATCTTCAGATCGTCACACTCATTCTGCTCTGTTGTCATAGCGTGGCGAAGAGCAAGCTCGCCAACTCATTGCGCGTCTAGCTGATCCCACTTCGCGCCAACGATTGGCCAAGCCCCACAGATCTACTGCCCGCAATACGGCTCTTACCATTCAATACAGCTCGCCTTTGGCGCAGCTTCGGGAACGTGCATCTAATCAGCAAAGCACTTTGCTGTCTGGACTGAAGCATTGGAGCTCGAGATGGAGGCTGCCTGGACAAAGACGGAGGAGCAGGTGCTGGCTCACTGGCAAGTAGATGCTGCCAAGGGGTTGAGCGAAGCGCAGGTGGTGGAGCGCAGGACAAAGTATGGATCCAATGGTGAGCGCATCGTGTGATCTCAGCGGCTCCGCCGATGCTGCTGGGTTGCTGGGTTTCGAATGCGCGCAAGCTGAATGTCTATGACTGGGCCCGCTTTTCCGCAGAGCTGGAAGACGAGCCTCCCACACCGCTTTGGCAGCTCATCCTGGAGCAGTTCAAGGACCAGCTCGTCATTATCCTTCTCGCGTCCGCCGTCATCTCATTCGTCCTTGCACTCGTGGAGCTGGAAGAGAACTCGAGCGTCATCGCTGCCCTCGTGGAGCCAGCTGTCATCTTCCTCATTCTGATCGCTAATGCCACTGTGGGCGTGGTGCAAGAGAGGAACGCGGATCAGGCCATCGAAGCGCTCAAAGAGTACTCGCCAGACTACACCACCGTCATTCGAGGTGGCTCAGCTTCCCGCATCCGTGCTGCAGATGTCGTGCCCGGCGATGTCATCACTGTCAATGTTGGTGACAAGGTACCTGCGGATGCCCGATTGGTCAAGATTACCTCTTCCTCCTTCCGCGTGGACCAAGCCATCTTGACTGGCGAGTCTGTGAGCGTGAACAAGTCGCTTGGCGCGGTCAAAGATGCCAAAGCTGTCAAACAGGATATGACGAACATTCTCTTCAGCGGCACGACTATTGCCACTGGCTCGGCCACCGCCGTCGTCTTTGCGACCGGCGCGTCCACTGCCATTGGCGATATTCATGCTGCAATCAGCGCGGAAGAGGACGAGAAGACGCCGCTGCAGGAGAAGTTGGACGACTTTGGAGACAAGCTGGCAAAGGTCATCACCATCATTTGCATCCTCGTCTGGGCCATCAACGTCCGCCACTTCTTCGACCCCTCTCACGGAGGCGCTTTCAAAGGCGCGATCTACTACTTCAAGATTGCAGTAGCCCTCGCAGTTGCTGCCATCCCTGAAGGCCTGGCCGCTGTCATCACCGCTTGCTTGGCTCTCGGCACTCGAAAGATGGCAAAGAGGAATGCCATCGTGCGCCACTTGCCGAGCGTCGAGACGCTTGGCTCCACCAATGTCATCTGCTCGGACAAGACGGGAACTCTGACCACCAATCAGATGAGCGTCACACGCTTCGCGGTCCTTTCCTCTGCAGATGCTGCGGCCGAATTTGAAGTGGAGGGTACCAGCTTTGCACCCCAGGGTGAGATCACATCCAATGGACGTAGCGTTCGCTCCCTCAACAAGGCTGGAAGTGCTGTCAACGCGTTGGCTGAGGTCTGCGCCGTCTGCAACGATGCGAACATTGCCCTCGAGAAAGGCTCTTATCAAGCGGTCGGTCAGCCGACAGAAGCAAGTCTCAAAGTGCTGGTTGAGAAGCTTGGCTCGCACGACAGCAAGGTCAACCAGCAGATCGAGAGTCTTTCGCCGCAGCAGCGCACAACCGCTGTATCTGATACGTACACCAAAGCTCTGGGTCGCATCTTGACCCTCGAATTTGGTCGCGACAGGAAGAGTATGAGTACGCTGGTCAGACGCGATGATGGCGCTGGTGCATTACTCGTTAAGGGCGCTCCGGAGGCGGTCTTGGACCGCTGCGAGACCGCTCTGCTATCGGGGGGATCAGAGGTCAAGCTCACCAAGAAGTCGCGCACTCAGTTGGACCACCTTATTGGGTCGTACGCCACTCAAGGCCTTCGTGTGCTTGCTCTCGCAACTGTCGAGAATGCGCCCCTGGACCCAAACGTCTACCGTTCCGACTCGCCCGCAGAGTACGTCAAATTTGAGCAGCGCATGCGGTTCGTTGGACTGGTCGGCATGCTAGACCCTCCTAGACCAGAGGTGCGCACCGCCATCGCTCGCTGCCGCGCTGCTGGCATTCGAGTCATTTGCATTACTGGAGACAATAAGGCAACGGCGGAAGCAATCTGCCGATCCATCGGCATTTTCCGTCAAGACGAAGAGCTGTCTGGCAAGAGCTACACGGGAAGGGAGTTTGATGATCTGAGCGAAGATCAGAAGCGTAGAGCTGTGCTGCGCGCATCTCTCTTTTCTCGGACAGAGCCCAGTCACAAGAGTAAGCTGGTCGAGCTACTCCAGCAACAAAATCTCGTCGTTGCCATGACTGGAGACGGAGTGAATGACGCACCTGCTCTGAAGAGGGCCGACATCGGTATCGCGATGGGCAAGGGCGGCACAGCAGTCGCCCAAATGGCATCCGACATGGTTCTGGCAGACGATAATTTCGCGACGATTGAGAGTGCCGTCGAAGAAGGCAGAGCCATCTATAACAACACGCTCGCGTTCATTCGATACCTCATCTCTTCCAACATCGGAGAAGTGGCTTCCATCTTCATCACCGTCTTGACCGGCTTGCCAGAAGCCTTGATCCCCGTCCAGCTGCTTTGGGTCAACCTTGTGACGGACGGTCTGCCCGCCACTGCGCTCAGCTTCAACCCACCTGACAAGGGCATCATGTCGGTACCGCCCAGAAGACGTTCCGACCCGCTGGTGACTCCTGCAGGGTTCGCTAGATGGGTGAGTACGAGCGATCATTCACAATGTTCTTGACAGCCGCGCTAAAGTGAGCTGCACCTTGCTGTATAACAGCTTGCTGTGGGTCTGTACATTGGATTTGCTACTTGCGGCGGCTACGCCTGGTGGTACCTCTTCTACGAGAATGGACCCAGGGTTTCCTGGTATGAGTTGACCCACTTCCATCAGTGCAGCACGTTTTCCATCGGTTGCAAGCCGTTCGAAGAGTCTCGAGCTGCCTCGACCATCTCGCTCAGTATTCTGGTCGTAATCGAGATGCTCAATGTGAGTCGCGAAATGTACTCGTCTCTTGTATTCTGCGCAAAATCGCCTCGCACGCGCTGACCGCCCTCCTCCCTTTATTTTGATAGGCCGTCAATGCGCTGTCCGACGCAGACTCTATTTTGGTCACCAGTCCATTCTCCAATCCCTTCCTGATCGGTGCCATTGTGCTCAGCCTGTTCTTGCACTATCTTATTTGTGCCGTGAGTTGGCACGACCGCGTGGAAGTGCGACTCCTCCACCCTGTTCGCTGACTGCAAGCGCGCCTTCCCTTGCGCAACACTCCGCCTGTAGGTCCCAGTTTTGCAGGACTTGTTCCACGTCCAGGCTCTGACCCAAGCCGAGATCAAAGCTGTCTTCTATTTCTCCGCTCCGGTTGTCATCATCGAAGAGATCTGCAAGTTCATCACCCGAGTCGCGACGCGCCAACAGCGAGAAGCTAGGCAGAAGGAAGAGGCTCGGATCGAGAAGGAGTTGTCGGCGGAAAAGTGAGAAAGGGAACACGCGGCGCTCTATTCGGTCACGCAAGCATGAAAGCAAAAGCTCAGAGCTCGAAATGTAGTCGAACAAGTTTGGAAATAGATGAAAAGTCAAGAGTGTTTCATGCGAACAATTACTTGAATGAACGTTCGTGCTTGTGCGGTGTGGTCTTCGAGCAAGCAACCCTTTACTCGCGATTGTGGCCGCAAAAATGTCAACTTTCGTCACCGCCCTCCTGGGTGTGGGCGATGCAAAGTCGAGACGATCGATGTCTAAGAGATGGCGGTGCGCCAGACTTTAGACGAAGTGACAATGGAAGTCGTGAATCGTGACTATGACACCCCCCAACTCTGTGTGACCTGACAGCTCTTTGTAAGGCATTGGCCGAGTCTCGCAAGCGCCCACCTCTCAATCGTCAAAGAATGCTGGGCGAGCGAGCCTTGATCAAGCTCACCCTTCTGATGGAAAAGTAGCGCGTAAGACGTTTGTGAAGTTGCTGTTTTGCTCGATCGTCGATCTTGCTCGAGCAGCTCCTCGATACTCAACTAGCTGTAGGTAGCTAGCTGTATGCAGCTCTTGTTTGCCCTTCATGCAGGCACACTCCTGTCGCTTTCGCTCCGCCGAGCGCGGCCAGAATCACAATCACAATCACGAGCACTTGCTTGGCTTGAATGTAGCCGTGCGGTGTGCGCAGTCGTCAGTGCGTACTATACGTACGGTAGTGTGGGTACTTTTAGATGGGAGCAGGATCTGGTCCGGTGCAGGCTTACTAGCTATTTTCTTTCGACAGCGAGAGCGAGATGCAGATCATCCGAAAGCCCACATTGTCTGCTGGGGTCTCAATTTCCGCAGTGAAGAGGAGCCTCTGCGCTCGAGATTTGTCTTTTCGATACATGTAGCTTCGCGGCAACCAGCAAAGCTGCGAAAGCCCACGAGTGGGTGGAGGGACGAGAGGATGAAGGACATCAGCTAGAGACTCACGAATCGAATCGAATCGGCGACGCGGGAGAGCGACAACCATCAACAGCGCCCGTACATATGCGCTGCCGTGCAGCAAACCATGCTGACGCACCGCTCATCATGGTAGCAGCAGAGGAGCAAGCTAGCAGCTGCTGCATGGCAATCGAGACGTGCTTTATTGCTGGGAATGCGCCACGCAGCCACTACTCGAGCGGAGAGTTCTTGCATGACGCTGCTCCAAACCCGCCATGCTGCATGCATGCATGCGCGCCATCGGGAATCCTACGAGTGACCACGCGCACGCGATCATCATCGCAGCAACAATAATAACGTGTACGCTATTCAATTCAAGATTCACGATTCTCGAGTCCATTAAGTCTAGACGGGCTGTGGCGTTACTCGCTGTGCCATGCAGCATTCAAGATGATTATTCTTATGATGATCATTGCGACGGGCCTCGAATCGAATTCACGATTATTCACCTCTCACACTGCTGTTCCCGCGCGTGCGGGGTGTGAGTACATGGTCGAAAGTCAGTAGTAGCAGTGGCGCTCACGGCATGGCTGATGAGAGGCTCGATCGATCACGACCGCTGCAGCACTCGGCACAACCGCAAACCGAGCTCAGCTAGCTCGCCCAGCAGCAGCTAGACACAATCGTTAAATAAGAGAGCAGCTAGCGATGCGCATGACAAATTGCGACAGGAAGTCTGCGGCTACTCGTGACTGTAGCAGCGAACTTTGTGCAGCGATGCTCTTCTGCCCAGCAGCGGAAGCGCGACGGCAAAGCTGGAGATGTTCGCGTGGTCGCTCATCACTGCTCACCATTTTGATTCACGTTCAGCCCACACCCGCGACTCGATTCAGCAAGGCTTGCCTGCTGATGCACAGCTAGCCATGCAATCTTCAATCCATCGCTCTTTCATTTTGATGGACCTGCTGCTGCTGCTGCTGCTGCTGCTGCTGCTGCTGCT